AAATATCATTAAGATATGAAATGTTCTACAACTTTATTAAGGTCGCAGACCTTGACTTTGCCTAAGCTCTGTTCTATATCATACGAACTATAATATCCTTGAATTCTGAATCCGAGATGAGACGATTAGAATACATATCCACACTCAGGGATTTGAGCTGCTTGACGATCGAAGGGTTGTCGTGACCCAACTCAAGTTTGCCCTTCAGCTTGTCATACTCTGCTTTCAGAGATGCTAGTGGATCCTCGAGACGATCATGAAAGTTATATTGAAGATGGGTGATGGCAAGGATCTCCTTGAATAATTTTGTATCGTCGATACTCAACTTATCATACGCTGCTTGATCGATATGTTGCTTGAAAGCAAGAGTTTGAATCAAGTCTTGAAGACTGACACTGATTTGCATTTTAGGTCCGCATATTCGGCGATTTGGTTGAACAATGACAAGCGTTTTAGAATCGAGATTTGGGACTCGAATATACTTAATCCTTAGCTGCTTATATACGTAAACTGAGGGAGTTGCTAATCCTTGAATTTCGTTAAGGTTGTACGTTCGGCCGCTACGCACGACTCCGTCGAGGGGTTTAACGCCAGCGCCTCTCAAACCCCTGCCAGTAAGTTTACCTCCACCTGGTTTAGCTGACGTAGAAGATCATGCTTTGGTCTTAGTTTAAAATACTGACTTAGTTGCTTTGAAAGCAGATTGAGCTGCCTTCAGAGGTGATCTAGCTGCCTTCAAGTTACTCCCTTTCGCAGCCTTCCTACCTCTTCGTATCGTTTTTGTTCCCCTGCACACTGTTGGAAAACCGTCTCCGACTCATCATGGACCTTTTTTGAGTGGATATTCGTTGAACTCTCCATCTACTCTCGATTTGACTTGAGTTGAATTAGCTCTCAATACCTCATTTAGGTACTTGAGATTACCATCGAGGTTCAGTCTGGTAGCTTTGTCGTTGGTCTGATTGACATATGTTTCGATATCCTCCAACCCTTGAATTAGCCTATTAAAAGTGTCCATCCGTCGAATTGTCTTCAATATACCTTTAATAGCTTCTCCCGACACTGTTTTATACTGATCATTCTTGATAATTACATGATTGGTAGCTGTCGGCTGTCCGATGTAGTACGTTTGATGTAGCTTTTAGTATTAACGACCGGTTGTAATCTAAAATGAATAACAACTCCGTTTGCTTGTAGTTTCGAGTAATATGTTTTAGAACCGCTTTCACTTCATTATCAGCATCGTTCCGCGTATAATCAGTGCCCTCGTCAACCCTGCTTAGGATATCATGACGAGCCTCACCTTCCGTTGATGTGAATTCCTTGATATCCAATTCAACATCCTTGTTTCCAATAATAACTATTTCAACTCCTCTATCCTCAGCAATTGC